TCCCTTTTCCTCCATTCATCGCTCTTTTTGGGATTTGGGGCATGACTATAACCCCCAGAGTGTTCTCCAAGCCTCTGGGTCTGAGATTTGAACTGTGATGAACCATGTGGGATCCAGCTGCTCTTATTACTAGGCCATGGGCTGGTTCAAGACAAGTCACTTTTTATAAACTTTAATTCTGGGAAGCAGTTTCGTAATGAATACGCCTTAGTTACTTTTCTTTTTTTTTTTTCTTGGAGAGGTTTTTGTTATAGGGTGCATGTGCTTGCCGTAAATACAGAGAGCAAGACAGAAAGCATGAAATCAATTCCTCCATTTTCTTCTTGGGATTTTGGGCATGCACACACACACACCAGGCATGAGTTTAAAGCCACCAGTTTGAGACTCAAACCGCAGCCAATTGCATGGGAGTCCAGCGACATAGCCATTATGCCAACTACTGGTCCCTAGTTTACATTCTTGATTCAAAACCTTTTCACTCATTCATGGCTCCAAAAGTGACTTCAGTTTTGTTCCTTTACATAAAAGAACTAGTTATCATTTCCTGCAGAAGCTAAACTTTTTCCTAAACTATCATTTCTCTTTTCTAGATCCAGATTCCAGAAAATCCTTAGATTTGTAGATGCCTGATCTATATCCTTATTTTATTTTCCTCTTCTAATTCAAAAAGACATTATTAGTGTTTTAAGCATTAGTGTAATATTGCTTCTTCCAGAGCCTAAAATCTGACTTTCATGTATCAATTTAAACTTTTTCTATTTGAGATGAATCCCATTCCTTCTCATTAACTGAAAACAAAGCACCTGTATTCATTTCTAAAATGACAGGACCAGCAGTTGGTATAATGGCTATGTCGCTGGACTCCCATGTAGTAGACCACGGTTTGAATCCCAGACCCAGTGGCTTAAACTCATGCTGGGTGCGTGTGTGTGTGTGTGCCCGGGATCCCAAGAGGAGAATGGAGGAGAAGGGATTGAGGTGTAGATCCGCCCAGGGGATGATTTCTCACTTTCTGTCTCTGTGTCTCTCTCTTTCTGTTGAGTGCACATGCCCTATAGCAAAAACCTTTCCAGAATAAATAAATGAATAAAAATAAATAAATAAAATGACAACTATCTACCCTCACTGCTCCTTTTCTCACACAGATAATGCGCTTTTGCAGGGAACACAGTGGAGGAGGTTGAGAAGAGTCTTACCCTTACTTCCAGGACCTCTCTCTGAGATCATCTTCCAAATTCTCAGTTTCCTGCTGCTATTTCCTCAGCCCTGTCAGAGCTGCTTAATTTGTCCCTTGAACACATCAAGTCAGTATAAAATATAAGATGTCTTAACTTCAGGACCTGTGTGAATGGGAAATTGACACCATGTTTCCTTTGAGTGGAATGGAGTTGAGAGAGCCACAAACGATGTTAAGGTATGCCAAAGCAAAGTTCAGGACCCTTTAAGTTTAAGATGTCAGTGTACTAGACTTTAATGTTTTTTTTTTAGAGGTTTTCGCTATAGGGCACGTACGCTCGCCAGACAGACAAAGAGAGACATAGAGACAGAAAGTGAGAAATCACCCCCCAGGGGTGATGACCACGCCGCAATCCCTTCTCCTCCATTCTCCTCTCGGGATCTTGGGCACGCACGCACACACGCCCGGCGTGAGTTCTAAACCACTGGGTCCGGGACGCAAACCGTGGTCGACTACGTGGAAGTCCAGCGACATAGCCATTACGCTAACTGCTGGTTCCCTAGACTTTAAATTTTGAAAATAAACATACAGTGTTTCTAGAAGAAAACATACAAAACCATTTTCACAATCGTGAGTAGTCAAAGATTTCCTGGATAGTAGTCAGGAAGAACTAAACCTTAAAAATTTGTAATTAAATGTTAAAAGTTAAAATGTTCTTCTGCATCAGAGATACCATTTAAAAATGAATGGACAAGTCAAAGACAGGGAAAATATTTACCCAGCATGTACATGACAAAGGACTTTAATGTGAAATCTGCAAAGAACTCTTACAGCTTAATTAAAAAAGACAAAAAAAAATTTTTGATTTAAAAAGGGGGAAAGAACTTAAACATATTTCATAAATAAAACTGTATGGCCAATTTGCACATGAGAAAATTGCTTAATATTATGAACTCAGAAATATGCAAACCCTCCCACAGAAAACTGAAAGCACTGTGTGTAGGGATTGGGTGTGGAGGAAGTAACAACTAAAGACACTGGAGAATAATCAAAAATGGTCAAAACTACAGGGAAGTAGACACTTGGTAAAAAGAAAACCACATTATAGTGATATCCTGTTTATGTCTTTTCAACTGAGGGAAGGCTCCAGTCAGCACAAGGTAAGATAATTATGAATAAAACTGGTCTAGAAATTCAATCTAATCAGCTACAAAAATAAGAGAAAAAAGTATAGATCTTCTACATATGCTGAGAAGTAAAGAGGAATTCCCATAAAAAAGAGAGTCTGAGAGCGAGAACCCAAAATTCTACTATATCAGTGTTGCTCACACCACTGAAGCACATATTTGAAGCAACTTCCAAAGAAACAAATGAAGTCTTCAAAAATTAAACCAATATTTTAGCTGCTACCTGTTGGAGGAAAGACAGATGTGGATTTTGAGATGAGTCAAGTAAACTGCTTGAACAAAGGTAAAAAAAAAAATATCAAAAGTGGTCAATGGAGCCAGGTGCCTCGTGGTTGACTACACACACAGCTTGAATCCCCGCTGTAGCTTGAAAAACATGCTAGGAGCATGTGCATGCATGCCAGAGATCTCAAGGGGAGGGAGAAAAGGAAAAAAAGTTATTGTGGGATAACTATTAAGAAAGGCATTCTCCCCCTCTCTCCTTCTCTTTCACTGGTGAGCTCATAAACCCTTTAGCAACAACAACAACAACAGCAAAAATAGAATTCAGAAAACTATTGCAGAGGACCAGGAAATGGCATAGTGTCCAAGCACTGAACTCCCATATGGCTATTGGTCCATAATTTTGTGTACAACAAAAATATTCTCAAATAATAAAAGCAAAATGAAGACTTTTGCTCAGGTAAACAAAAAACGGTAGATCAAGATATGGGAGAGAAGAAATGGAAGTGTTCTGTTTAAGAAGTTCTTATATGTAAAGTAATATATTATCGCCTAAAGATAGATGGTAATAAGGACACTTAAGTTAATTTCTGTACTCAGCAGAAAGGTATAAATTGTTTTTTGAATAAGAAAACCTGTGGCCTATGAAAACATTTGAGAGGAAGAAAGTCACCTGCAATGCATTTCTCACTTTACCTTAGCTTTCATAGAACATATTAAACATCAAAGGCCTAGTCTGATGTCACAGTGAGTAGCACATTAAACAGCAATGTTGGAAGTCACATGCCAACAGTGGTTCAAATCCCAACTTAGACAGCCTGAAGCATGCTGGGAATGCATGCATGTCTAAGATACTGAGGAACCGGAGGACTGGGGATGGAGAATTGAGGCACGATGAGACTCTGTTGAGGTTTCTTCTTGATTTACTCTTTATTTTCTCTCCCTCTCTCACTTTCTTTCATGCATACACGGTCTCTATCCATACAAGATGGTGGTAATTGCTAATCAGAGATCAGAGGTCATGGGGAGGGAAGTTCAGAATAGGTATCTTGATGGTGAGAATGGCAAGATCTCAGCTAATCTAGGGAGAGCTGAGCTGTCAGGTTTCAGAGTAGCCTAATAATAAAAATAATAATAAGCTAAAATCAAAGTAACAGTGAAGCTTTTAATGTTAACTATACAACGTCAGCATAAAAAATAGGTTAAATCTGAGAAAGTGCCAATTACAGGTGAACTTTCTTCCTCTCAGATGTCTTCAGGGCCCACAGGTTTTCTTATTAATTAAGCAATTCCTACCTTTGTGTACTTCTGAGTACAGAAATTAACTTAAGTGTCCTTATCTCCACCTATCTTCAAGTCTAGTACCTCCATTCTATTTCCTTCATGGAATACTATTGAGGGTTGGGTGGACTGGTACAAATGAGGAGGCCCTAAACAAAAGGCAGCATGCACCTATATTTACAGACATTATTATATGCAAATCTATGTGTGTATATATGTGAGTGTATGTGAATTTAAGTACATGTATGTATCAGTTTCAAGCGAGCCACTTTCATCTAGTAGGGCCAAGTTACTACTCCACTTTCTCTGAATGCTTACAAATCTTAGTATGAATTCTATATAGTGGGATAGCATGACCTAATTTATAAGGCTTATGTGATGGTTGATTTCATGATTTCATTGATTTCCAGTCAATGTGACTGGCCACTGAGTACCCAGATTAAATGTTATTTCTGAGTGTTTCCAAATGAGTTTACCATTTGAATCAGTGGACTGAGTAAAGTAGATAGCCCTTTCTAATATGAGTGGCATCTTCCAATTCATTGAGGACCCTGGTAGAACAGAAGGTAGAAGAAGGGAGAATTTGTCCGTTTTTTCCGTTTTTTCATCCTCACTGCTTAAGCTGAGACATCACTTCCTATCTTCTCCTGCTTTTGCACTAGGATTCATGTCATGGGCACCCTGGGTCTCAGGTCTTCAGTTTTCTGGCTTTCCAGTTTGTAGAAAGACTAATCCTCCTTAGATGTAAGAGCCAATGTTTCATGTGTGTGTGTGTGTGTGTGTGTGTGTGTGTGTGTGTGTGTATATATATATATATATCTTACTAATGCTATTTCTCCCAAGAACTGCAAATAATAGAGCATATTTCTCTAACACTTTATATCTTTGTTATTCCATGTTGTTCTATTCCACAAATTGTGTTTAAAAAATACTTGGCAAAAAAAGGACAAGTGCGTAGGGTGGTAAGTGCAGTGGTATGTGCCAGAGTTTAAGCACAAGGAACAGGTCTGAACACTGAAAGGCTATGTATTATACGGACAGCAGAGTGTAGACAGCTAAGCCTACTGGACAACCACATCCTAGAAACACACATTCTGCAGCAGGATTTTGGAACCTGAAAAATGAGACCTCAGTAGATCCAACTATTGTTTTATTGAAGCAAATAAAGAAAACAAAGGTTCCCCAGAGAAAATGACATGATTTACATTTTTTCAGTAATAATGAAACACATTTTTATTCTAATGTTTAAGAAAAAGTGCTTTAGAAAGTTGGTCTATATTCAATAAAATGTTCGTTATTCAAAATGATCCTAAGGATTAGATACAATCTTACACATCAATTTTTATTTTAGGAAAATGAGAACAAGAGACATTCAGTAATTTAACCAATGGTGTAGAGTGTCTACGTGAAGATACAAGATTAGAACTTGGAAACTCTGAGCATTAAATCTCCATTCTAGCTAGATATGTTATTTATGCACTTCCTGCTTTAAATCTCTGAAAAATATGAGGTGTCACCGGCAAATAATACATTCTGAAGGATTCACTATTTAGCGACAGATTCCTATGTGCTCTTTTACATAACATAAATATAGGTTGACAGATTTTCCTTTGTCCGTTCTGCTAAGCAACAAAGGAAGGAGGAAGAAAAGAGGTGGCAAAGGAGTTATGTAACAAAGGCTATTGTTCTTTCAATAGGAGGAATTAGATACGTTCCCCTGTGCATACTCCATCACCATCACCATCTTCCACCCCTCACCTCCTAAAAAGCATTCTCTCCTAATGAAAATAAGATACGAGAAATAATAAAGTACAGGCATCATTAAATGATAAGAAAAAGTAAAAGACTGTTAGGGGCTGAACTGCTCCCTCCTCAAATACATATTTTGAAATTCTAACCACTGATACCTAAGAATATAACCTGATTTGGAGACAGGTTCTTTGTAGAAAATACTAATTTAAAATGGTCTCATTAAAGGTGTATCTTGATCTAATATCTCTGGTGTCTTTATAAAAAGAGAAATTTGGACATAGGGGCATGCATAGAAGGAAGAAAATGTTAGAAGGCACAGGGAGAAGATGTTGTATCCAACCCAAGGAGACGTGGAACAGATCCTTCACTCACAGCCCTCAGAAAAAATCAGCTCTGCTAACACCTTCATTTTGGACTTCTAACCCCCAAAATTGAGACAATAAATTTCTGGTGTTTATACCACCAGTCCATGATACTTTCTTACGGCACTGTAGCAAACTAATACAAAAGACCTTCTAAGAAAAGGAGAGAGAAAGGAAGAGGCTGTCAGAATGGTGGAGATAAATTCAGATATGAGATCCAAACCTCAGGAGAAATGGAGATATTTCACAGAAGTGGGGGAGGGAACAAGAAAGTTCAGGTGCTTGGTGGGCACAGGGTCATGGGACCTGGACAGTTCCAAGGATTGAAGTATGGATAGGTAGGAAGAGAAAAGCAACATTTGGAGAACTTGTAGATGAGTGACCCCTGGTTTGTGACATTGAAAAATGAGACAATTCCTGCTTCACAATCTAGGAAAACCCCAATGCGATGGGGAAGCACAGACATGGAAAGAGTCAAAATCTTAGAATTAGAAGAAGAGTACTCAAAGGCGTTATACTCAAATTCATTCTGTAATCCTATAACCCAGTAACCATTCTGAGGGTTGTACCTGGAGCAAACATTTTGATGATTTGCATTTGGGTCAAAATCAACCCCAACAAAACTCTTTGTTTTATTGGGGTTATTTCTTTTACTATGTACTCCCAGGATCCAGGCAACCTTCCCAGACACATCTACTTCCCAGTAATATCTCCCTGAGGAGAAATATTGGCAGCCCAAGACCCCAAAAGCAGAAAAATCACGTGGATCTAAGTTCCTAAACATGCAAGCGTGCACAACCTTCACTTGTCTCTGATCCGCAGAAATGACAACATTCGAAACGGTGTTGACTGGATTCAGCATCACATCCACTGTAGAAAAATTATGGGGTGAAGTGAGACATGAGATGAGTGTGACTTATAACACTGTGAGGAGGAAAACTGGGAATTGATTGGGAGTAACTTGTGTTGCCAGGTCAGAGATGAGGGAAACATTTAAGAAATACAATATATATATATAAATATATATATATAATTAGGGAAGGAACACATAGGGCTCAGATCATGAGCTCTATTAGTAACCACAAGTTTAAAAAAAAAAAGTCAAAGGGGATGATTTGAACCTACAACTCCTTACCCCAGTGGCACTGGACATCTCTCAGTTCTGAAATGACAAAAGTGTCGATAATGTTAGAAACAAAGGAGTGAGGGCTGGAACCTATCTCATCTCTAGAGTAGGGCAGGGCAGGGGAGTGCTGTGAGGCTATGCACTGATGAATGAGGGCACCTGGTGAACCAGACACCTGGCCAGTCTCTCTACAATATGACCCTGTCTTCAGCACAAGACATGCCTCCTTCATTTATCTACTTCTGTCCTCACCTAGAAACAACACCCTCTCTGTCACTGAGGCTAATGCTACAAAAATTCTACACCCATGCTCTTCCTCCAGATGTTCTCACCTTTAAAAACTTGTAACATCCTACTCAGATCTGGAGCTCGGAATACATGCTTCAGTTTTTTGGAAACAGCTTTTGGCTTCTTCAAGGTCCAACTTTCACTCCTAAGGATAACAAAAAATTGATCACTATACATCTTTGACCTTGTGTCTTTCCAAGATCACTGATTCCTTCACCTTTCACCCAACTGAGACACTTGGACCCTCCTCTGCAAGGAGAACAAAAGGAACAGAGTTGACACTGAGACAAGAAATGTACTCATGTCTACCTGTTTACCCACTGACCCTATATGTGACTTTGAGAAGAAGTTTAATTTCTCCTTTAAAAATGGAATAATTATGGAATGACCCATATCTTGGTGGCTAAGAGAACCAGACCCCACATAAGAGTCCACGAGAAAATCCCATATCTGGAGGTTTGAAAAACAAGTGCCAGGCACTTCCGTGTACATGCTCCAAATCCCAACAGGAAGGAAACATTAAGAAGAGATTGTGGCATGACCGCACTCATTGAAAAGTGCTTTCTCCATCTCCTTCTCTCTCCTTCTGTCTCTCTCAGGGAAACACACATTCTCACTGGTAAATTATAAATAAATACATAAATACATAAATAAATAAATAAATAAATTGAATAATTAACCCCTTCCTACCTACTTCTTAGAAATAATTTTAAAATTAGGTGAAAAAAAAGTGCTTTTAAATGGTATTTTATAATTCTAAAAATATACTTGGCATGTAAAAAAAGTCATCCCAGTGGATCCACCAAGAAAAAAAAAAGTGCTTTTAGATGGTATTCTATAATTCTAAAAATATACTTGACATGTAAAAAAAGTCATCCCAATGAATCCACCAAGGAAAGGCCAGACCTCTGGGTTCCAAGGCACATGGCTAGTAGAGAGAGGCTACAGAATCTGGTATTGAAGAGTTGAGGATATCGAGTGTGTGCCCTTGGAATGAAAAGCCAGTTGTTTTCCAAATTCTATTATTCTAGTATGAGGGTCAGAGACTAACATCTGAGTTTCAAGTTGTCTGGAGAAAGGAGAAATTATAATGACCAAATTAATAATGGTCTGAATTTTATGTGTTTGGAAAGACCAGAGAGATGGGCAACTTTAAAGATATAAGAAC